TAATTTTTTTACATTTTCAAACATTTTTTTAATTTATGCCAAAAATTAAAATTTTTTCTATTTACTTATTTCAATATTTTTTATTCACTATTAATTATTTCCTAGTTTTTTTTTTATTAATTTTATTTTTTCGAAAAAATAGCTTTTTTAAGATTTTTGCCTCACAAAACTCCTTTTTGCGTTATTTTTAAATTTTTTTGTAATTTTTATAAATTTTTCAATTTTTTTTTCAAATTTTTCAATTCTTAAATTACGTTTTTTAAATTTTTTTATATTTTCCAAAAAATAAAGTTTTTTTTTAATATTTCCTCCCAAAGAACTTTCTTTTATTTTTAACTCTTAATTTTTAAAAATTTTTCCAAAAATAATTATTTTTCAAGCTTTATCTGCTCAAATTACTTTTTTTACTATTGTTTGTTATTCCATTTACTTTTTATTAAAAATAAAATATTTATACACTCATTTACATTTTTAAACTTTTTAAAAGTATTCACAAAAAATTTTTTGTATTGAAACAAATATTCATTAAAAATAATTTTCATATTTTTTGGTTTTCTTTTTTTTAATTTCTATGTGCGGTTATTTAAATTTTAACTAATTTTTTTAGTTTTAATTTTCCGCTCCTCTATACTCTTTCGAAATTAATATAAATTTTCTTAAAATTATCTTCCACATACACAGAAGGTCGCACATTCAGCCATCACTTCCTGAAGCGCTTGAGTTTTGCTGTCATTCCCGGCGCTTTTGTTGTTGGTGTGATAACCACACTGTTGGCCGCACTCACCGTTGTTTCAATGAAGGGACTGGGTGTTGGTGTAAGTATTTCTAAACTTTTTGCTCTCAATCTATCTGCACAAAAAACAACAAAAACCATTTTCCGCTACAATTTCAACCACTTTCAGGTAATCCTCTTAATTCTGGCTATCGGTCAAATGCTGTCACGCGCCATTCCTCAAGTGCATGCTGCCGCTTATACCGCTCCTGCACCCGTGCCTGTGGTCTACTCGCACTCACACACCCAACAACCCGTCTGGCTCGAGAAGGAATGGTAAAAGGCGTCGCGCGTTGAAAAACAGGACTTTTGTTACCTCAGTGAAGAAGATTAGTCCAAAAACCGAAGAAGAACGAATGCTGAAACTAGACCAAAAATATTATTAACTCTTAATTATTAGTGTTTTAATTAATTTAGTTAGTTCTAATATTTATTTATTTATTTAAATATTTTTATATTTTCAAATTTGTCAACTGGCAAATGGAATTTGTAAAACAAACAAAACAAAACCAACAATATTTGCGAAAATAAATTATGTGAAAAAATGCGCTCAAACAAAAGTGAAATGATTTCCATTATTGCATTGTAGGTAACCGCTATTTAGTATTCAGAACTGCTCTTAGTACTTCCTCGACTTTGATAGCGTTGCAAACATGGGCAGCCACGAACGTGATCATTTAATGTTGCACGTTTTGATCAATGGTTTTGACCGGCCGAGCCATGTAGAAAGAAGAAAGTGCACACGAACGACATAAAATGTGTCGATAACATTTTCGGTGCGGAGGAAATGAGGTCAAACACTGTGTTTGGGGAAACGTTTTCTCGATTTCGATAAAACGGGCGAAACTCACAGACAAATATGAGCGGTTAGTTTTTACTAAATTTAGGTTTGCTTAGTCGCTGTACTGACAAGCTTAGAATAAATATATAATATAATTTATACTTTACTATCTTCTGCTAGAAAGCGGCGAAAGTTGTAACAAATTCCGATTTAGTATGTCTGCCTAAATCGACTTCTAAAAAACTCCTCAAATATGGTAACTGTATTCTAGACAATTTCAACATTATAAGAAAGTCACAAAATTGCAAGTTATATGAAAAACTATCCGGAATATATCATAAATATTATGTCCATACCTTCAATTTTTTTTTTTGTTTTGAAAATGCAGTCTCGTACTCAAATATTTATTTATTTTTTTTTTCATATTTTTCTATATCGTGTAAGCTTTATGGGGACTCTGGTGGCTAATGTATGCTCAGACTGTATTCTACCATATATTACATATTAAAATATACATACATACATACCAAACCAAATCTGAAGTCGGAAGTTTTTTGAATGCTAACAACTTTCCGTTTAGAGCATACTCTTGATTTTGTTCGGTTTTAAACAAATGGGCAAGGACATGCCATTCTAAATTCTTCCTCCATAAATATTTAAATAAAATTCTTCTTGTTCTTCTAAATAAACAGTATATAATATATAATTCGGCGATGGTCTAGCCTTAGCAACTGAGCCAACAAGTTAAGAGAGATATCCTTCTTTCTTTGGGTCAATAAAACGTATTCCTTCTCTAAAAAATACAAACATTTAAATTCTGTTAACTGTTTGCCATTTTAAGGGAGCGATCTAAGCGCTTGATTGAATTCACCATACCAACGATAAATACTACTTGTTGTTCATGGATGCCCTTTTGCGGAGTTGATCCACGTCGAAAATTATCAAAAATAATCATGCACAAATCCATTTTTTTGACCGATATGAATATTTTGAGTTACTGTAAATAAGAGCGCTCCTTGTCAAAACGTTCTGAGTTTAAAAAATTAGGTTTAGAATTCATAAGATGCATGAACAAAATCTCTCAACCAAGCTCCGTAAGCTTTTGGCGAGTCACTACTGATATTTATGGCTGATATGATAGTTTCTGCTTCGTTCTGATGAAGCAGTTGTCACCGGTAAATTACCAAATGTATCAAAATAGATGATTCGCTGCCAGCCCCATCAAACAATCCAAAATATTCTTGAAGTAATTTCGAGGAATAGTTGGCTGGATAAAAAACCAGGTCCAGTCCTGTTATTTAGATCCGATTGTCTTGGGAACTTACATAACGGTCGGAGTGGTCGATTTCCATTGTTCGACAATTAGCTTTCCAGAGCCAGACGCGTCTTTGACATCAAAATATCTGGAACGGAATGAACGAAATCAAAATTGTGTCAGATAAGCTGTTACAGTATCAAGATAATAAACACTATTCAGATTTTTTGCTGCAGATATCCTTCACTATCGCCTTGTCGCAGAAAAGCTTTAATATCTTTTAAAAGTAGTTCTGAAATCGACAACTACTACCTACAACTATATTTTTTATAAAAAATATTCTGACGGGATCCATTGTCGATAACATTTTCTATTTTGCGGTTTTGAAATATATTGATATTGTAATGGTGGATCTTATTTTTTTTTTTTAGAAGACAAGTGGTACAAAGCCTTCAAAGATGGTCGAGAGATCGTTGAAGACGTTCTGGACTCGAAAGTCGTCCTCTTTAACTGTTGAAAATATTAAAAACATGAAGCATATGATGCTTAAAAATCGTTAGAGAGATGGGACGAGAGCTCGTCATCTCTTGCGAGTTCGTTCGAATTATTTTGGTGGATATTTTTGGTATAAAACGCGTTCTCGACTCGTCCCTTAAGAGCTCTTTTCAAGAAGAGTATAGTAAAATGATCTCTTTGGACATGTGTGATGGTGTACACTCAGATACCACATTACTGGAGAGCAATATAACTATCTATATGACATGGGTTTATGAGTCAACAACCATCGAAATGGAAGAAAAAAAAACGAGCCAAAACAAAAAAAAAAAAGCACGTCAAAGCTGCTCAAAAATCATAATGATGCATAGTGGCTTTCGACATTCGTGGTCTGGTGCATCACGAAGATGCAGGTTCTATTTGGCCGTATTTTGGCGTTCCGTCTAAAATGGCCGGAATTGTGGAAGAACAATTCATGGATTTTAAACGGCGATAATGCACTATCGCAAAGAGCCACGATTGTGACCGAATTCAAAGCCAAACAAGTAAAGAAGGGCTAAGTTCGGGTGTCACCGAACATTTTATACTCTCGCATGATAAAGTGATAATCGAGATTTCAGGCGTGGTTGTGAACCGATTTCACCCATATTTGGTACATGTCATCACGRTRTTAAGAAAATATTAYATACCGAATTTCATTGAAATCKGTTGAGTACTTCCTGAGATATGGTTTTTGGTCCATAAGTGGGCGATGCCACGCCCATTTTCAATTTTTAAAAAAAGCCGGGATGTAGCTTCCTTCTGACATTTCTTCCGTAAAATTTAGTGTTTCTGACGTTTTATGTTAGTCGGTTAACGCACTTTTAGTGATTTTCACAATAACCTTTGTATGGGAGGTGTGCGTGGTTATTGTCCGACTTCATCCATTTTTGAACTGTATATGGAAATGCCTAAAAGAAACGACTCTATACAGTTTGGTTGACATAGCTATAGTAGTTTTCGAGATATGTACAAAAAAGTTAGTAGGGGGCGGGGCCACGCCCATTTTTCCAAAAAAATTACGTCCAAATATGCCCCTCCCTAGTGCGATCCTTTGTGCCAAATTTCATTTTAATATCTTTATTTATGGCTTAGTTATGACACTTTATAGGTTTTCGGTTTCCGCCATTTTATGGGCGTGGCAGTGGGCCGATTTTGCCCTTCTTCGAACTTAACCTTCTTATGGAGCCAAGAAATACGTGAACCAAGTTCCATCATGATATCTCAATTTTTACTCAAGTTACAGCTTGCAAGGATGGACGGACAGACAGACTTCCGGATTTCAACTCTACTGGTCACCCTTATCACTTTGGTATATATAACCCTATATCTGACTCTTTTAGTTTTAGGACTTACAAACAACCGTTATATGAACAAAACTATAATACTCTCTTTAGCAACTTTGTTGCGAGAGTATAAAAATGCTATGAATACCATCGTTCAACCAACGTATTCACCAGTATTTGGATTTTTGTTCTTGTTCCGCAAACTGAAAATGCCGCTTCGTCGTTTAAGGAGCTGAAGGCCATCCCAAAAAGTGCTTATGAAAAGTGTTTAGAGGACTGGAAAAATCGTTGGCAGAAGTGTATTACATTTGATGATGATTATTTTGGAGATGCCGCTGAAAAGAAAATCTAGAACGAGGCTTAACATTTTGGTTTTATGCTTCAATCTTTAAGAATTAAGAGTTCTAAAGCGTAAACATACTTACTTTATAAATTGGCTATATACATTTCTGTATTCTTATATGAAAAAAAACTTAAAATCAACACAATATAATACAACTTTTGGGTCTTCAGATCCCGCCAATATTTTGTTATTATTTTCTTAAATGTGCTTTTATGCCCGCAGTCGAAGACAATGGCAAAGAAATGTTCCGCACAGTTGCTTTTAATGCAACCACAAAATGGCTAGCGACCAAGATTTTGCTTAACAATTCCACTCACGCGGCCTAAAACAATCCGCGTACTAAATAAATATCTCTCGTGTACAATAAATATTTACTGTTTTTACACATAAGCGCTGATCCACTTATCGATCATTCATTGAAATAGCATTGTCCGCCAGAGTCAGTCCGAGTGCTAACTACGAATCCAAGATCTTGTGTGCGATTTACTTGCAAATTTGTGCCAATTAAGACTACTTTTGCGCCAAACAATAAGAAGAACGATCTTTTTATCGAAATATGGATTGGCCAGACAATTGCACCGTTAGCATTTGTGGCATGTTGCATGAATGCAAGCCAATACACATGTCTTAACACGACATATATATTTATGTTTACATCAATTAACGATCAAGTGAAAACGGCAAGAGCAGAAATCGAAGAACTGAAAGTTGAATTGCCAAACAAGCTGTGGTAGATAGTTGCGCATATGGCAAATTAACCAGCGCACAACTGGACTAGATTCTTTCCAAGAACCCCATTAAAACGGTGCGCAGCAGCATTTTCTTATTTGCTTCGACGTCAACAAGAAAGTCTAGAATTTCCAGCTTGCGAACTCAAATGGCCAAAGCGAAGCATTGGGGTTTGCTGGCGCGCTGCACACTTTACTGCATCAGTCGCTGATCGCTCACAAAACCGCACAGAAGTGCAACTGCCGTGCAACACGACGACACAAGATCTTTATTTTAACAGGAAATATTTCACAAAAAAAAACTTTCGAAAATGGCGCTCATCAACGCTCAACTTTGGGCAATTATTGTTGTTGCCCTAATAGCGCGCACCAATCAAGAGCGTTTAAGCGTAGGCAGCGCGCCTGCTCAAATTAACGCGGCAGGTGTTGAAAAGCGTAGTAGCAGCAGTGATTCCACTTTAAGCGCACGCCACACTGACGAACTGGCAAAAAGTGTGCCATACTTTCAGGCGTCACTGCCGGTGCGAGTGTACGAGTGCTTGCGCGCCTTCAGCATTTTGCGTTGCACGAAACTGTTCATTTTGCAAAAAATGGAAGAGCGCAAGGCTATCAGTCAAACTGGCAACTTAACACGTGACTTTCTCGATCAATTTTTCGACACGGAAGACAATGTGGGCAGCCTGATAGCTAACAAGTATGCGAATATGACGGATGAGAAGCTGAATCATTGTTTGGTTGTGCGTTTTCAGCGCTTCTTCAAGCATCGCGACATTAAATTGCACTTCCTTCCCGGCGTAATGGTGAAGATTGTGCCAAGTCGCGACAACAAGCTGAGCTTCACGCTGAAGAAGAGCAAAAGTGAGTGCACTTATTGTAACAGTAGTATACAAATTCTATTTCCCTTTGTTTTATAGAAACGAAAAAGCATGCCGTACGCGCCAGCGGACGCGCCACGAAACTAGTTGAGGAAATCGATGAGACGCTGGATGCTGCGGAGCCAACATCGGAAACGCATGGCGTTGAAGCGGCGCTCACGAAGCAAAGCGATTTGGGTTTAGGCGGCGCTGGCCCAGGTGGTGTTGGTGGACCTGGCGGTATACGACGCAAAATTAAGAAGGCATCTTCGTTTGCTACTTATAAAAACACAATTCTTCAAATGGCCGTACCTGTAATGGTCATGCCCGCCATTCTACTGGGTTCGGTGTTGCCATTCCTGTTGCCTATGCTGAAGTTGGCCACTATAATGTCGATGATGTTGAATAACAGCGCATTTATTGCGGCGCTCATTTATGCTGCGCGCACGCACGCAAACGCGCAGGAGGAGCAGCAAATCAGCTATCCTCCACAGGGTTACTTTTAGTGGAATTCGTATCGTTAATGTGTTTTGAATATGTTTGAAATAATAAAATTTGAAGAAGTACTTAGCTGTGAAACTGCCTTGTTCCATTTTTGTGTCTTAATTTAGCCTTAAGATTGGTGTTATCCTGCACTATCTAGGTTCAGAACCCTTGTGGTTAATGAGTTTTATGATATGGTAGTCAAAATTAATATTACTCGCCTAGTGAGGCTGTGCATGTGTCTTAAGATCCGCCACGTAAAAACCGCTCCCAACGAAAAAAACTGAGAGTCTTGGATGAAAGACCCCACTTTTGGTGACGACCACAGCAAACTTAATAAGAACTATCGGCCTGGTGCTCAGCACAAAGAGCACAAATTTGGTGTGGGATTCGTGATGGAAGAAATAGCTGATGGAACATAAGGACGATTTGATGACTGTCACCGCCACGATTTAAAAATTGGGTCTGGTGATTTTACGCCAAGAAGTCATCTTTGGCAAAACATGGCGAACCCTCTCCAAATGGGTTGAGGCTGACTCGCTTCAGAAATATACTACTTCACTGCCTCCGGATCGAAAAGTTCAAACCCAGATCGATCATATTGTGATAGATAATAAAAACGATAATAAAAACGTTTTCCATACAAGTACTTAAATGCAATCGTTCAGTGGTTCTGGCACATAAGCTTGCTGAAGAAAGGAAAAGGTGTGCACAATTTTAGTTCGAAATCTTGAGAACTGAGTCAGTTCGCGGAGAGTTTCATAAGGCTATTAAACTCAGTTTATCCCACTGATTGGGGTATCCGCCGTTTCGTTCTGTATTCAAGTCTGAAGAGTTGAAGTTCCCAGAATCCGGAGCTTAGGTCAGTGTAAGAGAACGAAGTTTTCTAAGCAGTACATAGAAGCTCCTACTGAAAAGGATACAACTAGAAACCCATATATAAAAGTAAAGGCAGACATCATCGCCGATCAAGAAATGCGATCTTTGGGACATTTACTCCAGAGGTCATATACAAGAGCACAAATTTGGTGTGGGATTCGTGGTAGGAGAAAGAAATTCTGTCCTTTCTGCCGATTAATTACGGCTGGGAAAACACAAATATTTCAGTGCTCATATTTCCAAATATTGCTTTCATCACCAAAAACCAGAATAGCAACTCTGGTTAAATATAACTTATTACTCAATTAACAATCTCGTATTCTGCTTGACGAATTTAAGGGTATGGATGGTCAAAGGTGGTTTGAATCACATATACTGCTTAACTTAACAAATTTTAAATTTTCACTTTACTCCGTTTCTTACCAAATATAGGGAAAGTCGAACTCTATTTGGAATATAACATTAGGAATAAGATATATATTGATATATAGTATATATAAATATATTGATATATTCCTATTATTCAAGTGGTATATGGCGAAATGCACAGAGAGAGCATGCGCCATACATTTTCTAAATAGAATTTCGAGGAATATTAATGAATTTAAAACAACTCTGGAAAAAGGTCATCTTTTTTTCCCCAACTTTAATAACTAGTTTTGTCATATGTCTCAACTACTGAAAATTGGTTATGGTAATTCCGTTTGTTTTCCGGAAAGTCTAGTTATCTAATGCAGATCAAGCTCGTGCATAATAGAAATAGAACTGAAATAAAACAAGTAAGGAAGTGTTGAATGCGAACACAACCGAGCACAGAATAAGCTTGCTATAGATCATGTTATAAATGTCAAGAATTTAGCATGAAATGCGGCTATCATTATATAAATAGTAAGTAAGTAAACGAAAATAAGAAGATTGGTAAATTTTTGGATCAGACTTGGCACATGAACTCGCCCCATTTGTAGCTTTTCCAATATCCACAATATCTTCATCATAAATATCAGCCTCCTTAGGGACCATAATTGGTTGTTAACAATCGAAAATCATCGAGACGAATCCACTTTTGTATCTGTATATAACTCTCTATCTATCTTACTCAGTTCTAAGTGTTACCAACCAAGTTATATCAGCAAAATGATTTTCCTCAGTGCCTACATATTAGAGGGGTATAACAAATAACATTCAAACAACATATCTAACTACCTAATAAAATAGTGTCAGAAGCGTTTATAAAATCTGTTTAAAATATGTATACTCGAAACAGCTTTGAAGTTTTTAAAACTCAATAAAATAAAGCGTGCATTGTTTCCATTAATTATTGTATTTATTAAGTTTTTTTTTATATAATATTAATAATGAAGCTGATCGTTTTGTATGCGAATAAATGTGATTCGATATTTTCCATTGACAATCAAGCCATGAGCAAATATGTATAATTTTACTGACTTAAGGAAATACAAGGATGTTGTTTATGATTGGGAGAGTTTTTTACGTTGCGGGTCCCAAACCCAGCGCACAACTCTGGTTAGGGATATTTCGCCTTCTTACTTTAGCTCGCCCTCAAATGGATGTTTTTTGGCACACAGAGGATATTTGGTCTAAGACCGGTAGTCGAGAGCTGCTTGAGCGGTATATAAAATAATCGTTTCTGGCGAGAGAACTTTTCTCCCTTGCGTGAACTTCTACGCAGGTCTCCATGCCGTCGAGGAGAAGAAGATATATAAAACAAACAGTCGTGGCTTCTACGTCAGTGTTGACACTCATAACTTCGAAGTCGGAGATAATTTCGTCTGTCTTGAAACCAGCATTAACACCGACAACAACGCCAGCCACGAAATCCAATAACTCTTACTAACATGTGCTAGACAATTGAGAAGTAAAGTCCTCTCCCGATGATTTCCTCATTCCCGTCCTGCTGTATGGCGCATGGACGATGACAACGTCTAATGACTCGGTGTAACGAGTTTTTGGCAGAAAGGTATGGTCCTAGTGCTATATAAGACACACGACGACATTGACAAAGTCATTTCGTCCGAATGGATGAAAACACTCCTGCTCCGTGAATAGTAGGTCGTGGGAAGCAGAGGAAGAGTAAGACCTCCGTTAGAAAGATCAGGTGGATAATCTCCAATAGGCGGCAAACAGCGAAAAGGAAAAACAACTGATGCGCTGTGGTAAACTCGAAACCGCGTGTCTATGCCAATAAAGAATAAGAATAAGAAGAAAGAAAGAAGAAACTTTCAAATATTTCTATAATTTCAACATTATATAATATAAAACAAAATCTCTCAATGCGATTTGGTAACGAATTTTACAATTGAATGATTGCCGAGAGACCGTAGAAAAGTAGTTTATACTACCTTTTTGGGATAGTTTACACCTACTTTCCATAAAGCACTCAATTTTTGTACCAGCTACCTTATTATTACAATCGACAAGTCCCAACATCAATACATATATACATAATAGTTTTCTGCAAGGGTATAAGCTATCTCGCTCCATATCTTCGCTTAGCCGCCATATGTCAAATAAAATAATGGCTATCCCTCTATCTGTCTGACACCTTATATATACGTGAACTAATATCTTTGATTTAAAGATATCGATCTTAAATTTGCACACGTTCTTCTCTTCCAAAGAAGTGACTCAAACTGAACGATCGGAATCAAATGCTTGTATGGAAAACTTTTACTTTAGAGGAGATATTTGCATGAAATGTAGCATGGATTATTATCTAAAACAATACCATATTGTCTGAAGAACTTGTTCATATCGGATCACTATTGTGTATAGCTGCCATACAAACTGACTGCTCTATTTGTATGATAAGGAATATCTTCTATTTGTAAAGAGTATAATAGTTTCTATCCAAGCGAAGTTTACGTTCTTTTTTTTCTCTTCTGTATGGCTCATTCAAATGTCTCGTATATTCTCAAAAAGTGTGTCAAAAATTTTCCAGTTAGTATAATACATATCGTTGCCAATAACCTAGACATCAGTTAGCATCTTTCCCTATCATGCATATTAGGAGTATTAGTCTCTGTAAAAAGTTCATTTCAAAGTATTTAAGATGACATTTAAGATAAAGTCTTAAAACTATATTGTTCATATAATAAGGTAAGCTATTACTAATATTCGGTCGCAAAATACCTTTTAGCCCGTACTGATTCTCCTTGTCACTTTTTTTATTAAACTTTGTTTCGTTATCTCAATATATTTCACTCATGTTCTAAATAAAATAAATATTTGCATATGCTGGTGATTCACAAAACGCTAAATCCAAGGCCCTTACCATAACCTCTAAATTTCCTGAGACAAAGTGGCTTCGCAAGCAAAACTGTGTCGTTAGTCGATGCCAACTATTTATTTATTGCTTATTATTATTGCCAATTTTCAAAACACCTGTGATTCACGAAACACTTAATACCTTCATCCATTAACCAATAAACCACTATCAGATGACAAATTCTATAGCCAGTTCGTAAGTAAACGAACGCACTCGTTAACTGTATTTGCAGGTGTTTGAGTGTATGTGTAGACGAGCGCTCATATTTTGTTGCTAACCTTCAAATTCATGTTTTGCAACAATTATCAATGGTTTGATTTCTGCCAAGCTGCTATCGATTTTTGTTTTCATTAGCCGAAAAAAACTTCCGCTTATTAATATTCTACGAAATAAACGCTTCCTTTATGCTTGAAAGCAACTATTTATTTATATTTAGTAATGTATATATAATATATGGAAATGAAACAAAAGTGTTACGCACATAATTATTCGAAATTCAAGTTCACAAATCGCTCATCCGCAATGCTGCAAAGGCCGAAAGATTGCACTAAAGCTGAGCTAGAGGGCTGCTGTTAAGGCCAAAATATTCGCATCTCCTGTGCACTTCGTGTCTACGCAAATTCTTTGTGATTTTGGTTAATTTATTATTTTTGGCTCTTCTCTCATCCTAAAGTCCGTTTGTTATGCAATAAGTTAACAAGTTTATAAATAACTTGAGCACTATGCGGTAATCAGCTGCTGTCTGCTTGCTAATTAAACATGTCACGCATAAATATTTATATGCTTGTTTATATATGTATATTTGAGTATATGTACCATATATACAGTGAAATCTCCCATCTTCCGCTTATGCTGCTGCCCTTCTGTTCGGTTAACAGAGTTGTCCGCTTAATAGAGTGTTTGATTGATGGCGCTGTCCGCGTAACAGAACTGTCCGAGTAATAGAGCGGCCGCTTAATAGAGATGTCTGGTTAATAGAGCGTCCGATGTGTAAATAAAAATCCCCACATATTTTTCAAAACTGTTTTATTTTATTTACCTTAACATTTTTGGTTATTGTTCATATTGTAATATACAAAATAGATTTAAAGCAAACTAAAACTAACATTCCATTTCATACAAGTATGTTTGTTGTTTATATAAAACATATTTCGTCAACTGCTAAGTTGAAAATCATAAAAAACATTAGAAATAAAATAAACCTTAAAACACTACACAAGCAATATCCTTAGAACTAGCCTTAACGCTGTAAGTATGTGAACTACCTCCCTTATAGTAATAAGTATGTATGCCGCATATAAACTCCATTTTTTATTTGTTTTTTATAAGTACGCACTCTCATATATAACTTATATCCAAATCCATGCCTTAAAATTGTTTCCAACGATGCTGAAATGTCCCATAGTATTTCCTTCAGCGCCTAGCTTTACCCTCCCCCACTCGATAATTGGATAATTTGCAAGTACATTGAGTATGCGCTCTCTATGTTTATGATTGTACGTGTGTATGTTCATACTTTTGACTGGTGGTTTGTTGCAAAAAGTCTCTCCATCATATGTTAACCGGGAAAAAAATTGCATGAAATTGTGTACGAGTACTGTGGACTGCAAGCGCCTTTATTCTTCCTTCTTGTGCACAGCACCCTTGCGATCCTCATCGCAGATATCCTTATCATCCCAACCCCAAACGAGCGTCTCTTCATTGTCATGATCGAGTTTCGACACCAGTTCACTTATGTTCACATTGTTGTTGTTCACATCCTGCATCGAAGGGTGACTGCCATCGCCAGTACGTTGTACGCGCTTCAAGATCATCTCATTCGACACCGATTTCAGATCGTATGCTTGGCCTGAGCAAAAAAGTTAAGTACATACATATATACATATATGAAAAGTATTCAAAATATGAGCATCCAAAGACACCCAGTTAAAGAGCCACTTTAACTCACCAATGCGCGCCATGAAGTCCAAGAAGGCGGTCGTCCAGTTGTATTGGTATGTGCCCAATTCTCCCGCTTTGTAATCCCATGGGAAGACATGATGATAGTTATGCCAACCTTCGCCAAAAGCGATCACCGACACCACTTTGCTATCAACCGAGCTGATGTTCTTTTCGTATGGTCGCATGCCGTAGAAGTGAGCCGCGCTGTTCACCAACCATGTGCCGTGCAGTGAGAGCGCATAACGCAGCATAGAGCAGACGAAGAAGCAAACTTGCAGCGACGAGCCCAATACGTAGTAGGGGAAGAGTCCAGGAATGACGAAACAGCAAATAGGCATGATGAGGAAGTATAATCTGTGGGAACAAATTCAATTAGTAATGATTTAATTTTAATTCCAAAACGTCAATGGTGAATTACACTATAAACAAGTAAGGAAAGGCTGAGTTCCCGGCCCGACTCAACCCATTTTTTATAAACAGTGGTACCATTGTCAGGAGAGGGTTTTCTCTAAGTTTTTATTGTATAAACCATACATTGACCGATATTTTCGCTCAAAACTCAACTATAGATACTGTGAACCACATTTTCGGTACCTAGGGGCTTGAACAATTTTTGTTGAATTTGGACAGTGTTTGGTCCGAAGGGGGCATATTTTAAAAAAATTATTAGTGCAAATTTCTATATCTTTATATCAATTCATTATTGATTGTTGTCGGTCGGATCTCGAGATATGTGATTTTACTAAAAAATGGGATGTGCTGTGCCCATCGTCCAATTTTTTCCCCGACTACAGTAATACCTTCTTATACCATTCCGATTTCAAAAATTTTTACAGTATTGGCAGGGATGCTTAAGAGATGAGTAAATTTGGCTATTGTAGCTTTAGTGGTCCAGGAGATATGTATTAATGTAACATATTAGAAGGCGGAATACGCCCCTTATTTGAAAATTTTCCTAGGAATATTTGTGCCAAGTTTCATCAAGTTCTCTCAATTTTTACTCAAGTTACAGACCACAACGGACCTGTTCAAGTGAGATCTCTAAAAAGTTCGACCTTTAAACCTTACCTTACCTAACCTAACCTAACTCCCATTACCCACATCAGCAATTTCATCTCAGACTACTCACTTCTTCTGGAATTTAACGACGGGATCGGCCAAAATGTCACTCATATCAATAGTTTTGCCGCGCTCCCTCACATCGGGGTGCTTCTTGCACATCAACCAACCCATATGGGCAAAGAAGAAACCACGACCCGAATTATGGGGATCCGCATTAGTATCGGTAAATTTGTGATGAACACGATGATCGCGACACCACTCGTATATGCTGTTTTGAAAGGCGAGCGATTGACACAGCATAAGAAAGATACGCAAAGGCAGTTTAGCTTTGTAGGCGCGATGCGACCAGAGACGATGTACACCAGCTGTAATGCCCAAACCACCGAGTACGGCGTATAAGTAGCCTATGAAAGCAAGAAGAAAAGGAGCGAAAAAAAACAAAAAGATTTAATAAATGAATCAATAAGTCGCTATAAGATCATATGAGAGCAACACTCACCGATAAAGAACTCCAAGTACGCGTTCTCAGCCCAAATAAGATACAAACCATAGAGTGCCATCGAATGCAATACCACGAACAGCATCACATTGAACCACACAATTTCCATTTTATAAGGTTTCTGCGTGATTGCATCCGTTTTACTTTGATTTTGTGCCGACGTTTTGGCCGACTGCTGTTGCATGGCCGCAGCCGATTCACCTTGATTGGGGACGCGATCATTACTACTCTTACAACTGGTCTTGGCTAATGTAGTCTGTTTATTGTTGTTGGCATCATTATTAGTAATGGCCGTTTCAGCGATGAGAAAAGTGCTGCCGATCAAATTTGGAGCCATCTATAACGAGGTTAAGGAGAAAGATATTGTGAAAAAATGCAAAAGAGTAAAGCATTCATTTAAGTAATAAAAATTTAATTTTTTTTATTATTTCTTATATATTATATAAATCATTATTTCAAAAGCATCTTATATAAGCCTTAAAACATGCATGATTGCATACTACACGCTGACAGCGCCATTGATAAGCTTAAGCGATTGATTGATTTCAATAAAGTTTCAGCAAAATGTGCTTCATTCTCATTGTTCTCCATTCAACACACACCCGTTTACCGCTCAGGTGCTCTCAACGCTTTCGTACACAAATATTTGTATTCTCCATATTCCACAGACAACACTTTATGTCGTTACCAAGCACATGTTTCGCCACAAAGTCGTTACCAATTCATTTTACGTGTCTGCTGTTTCCTTCCACTGACTATCAAATAAGTTCTAAAGTAGTTACATTCAAGAAATTTAAAAAAAAAATATCCCTCATCGACAATTCGTGTCAGGTTTTGCCAAAAAAATAAAATTACTAACACAAAGAAAAGATTTTGAAAAAAATCTCGTAAAAATTGTATAGTTAGACAAATAGTTCAAAGTCGCGAGTACAGGGACGTCAGCTTTAAATATAAGACACAGATAAAGACACGTGTAAAGATTTAGGAATTTATGCTTTGCGAATTTCGAAGCTCATTAATGCAAAATGTGAAACACATTCAATCGTTTATTGCTGTATTGATATTGCATATCTTTGCGAGTTCTCTGTGAGAAATGAAGCAATACTAACTTTGTCACTCTCTCACTATTAGCCAAGCAATAAAACTTTACTAAAACATATGTCAATCAAGCTGTCACACCATTAATATTTTTGTTTCTTTTGTTTTCTTCTTCCACATTTAATTTTATTTATGCCTCAAAAGAGGCTTGGCCCCTTAATTTACGGTCATAAAATTTGTCTAGAAATGAATAAAATATCTTACGTATGCAGTTAGAAATCAACCTTAAATTCTTTAAAATTAACACCGACATAATATTAACTAGCTGATAGAAATCTAAAAAAACTAATTTTAGAATTCATTAAAGTCAATGTTCTTTTATAATACTACAAACGAGTATGTACTTCTGGTACGAAACTTTAACGGTCTTTCCCAAAACGTGCTTTGTATGAGGACGACGTTGTTAAAACATTTAAGAATGTAATCAAAATGAATTTCCGCTTAGCTAATGTKGGTACATATATTTCAGAGTAATTAGTTGAGGTTAAGTTGGTCTAGTATAAGTAAAGTTCCACTCACTTTAGTGTTGACATGCTTATTAAGAGATTTGTCCGAAAGCTTTGTTGAATATAACGTCAAAACAGAAACGAGTTACTCAATATCTGCCAACAAACACTGGAATATTTTTTTGAAGCCAACTCCGAAAGAGTAAACCGTTTTTACTCGTCCTTAGTAGCAAAACCAGCTACTGGTGGGTTATCTGATTCTTTCTTTCAAATTTAATAAAAAAAATACTCTTTATGAATTAAGAAGGATATAATTCAAAAGACACAATTGAACACAATAGATCTAAGGTATAACAAAATAAATATATAGTTTTATAGAAAACACTCTCGGTTACTCTCTCACTTGGCAACAAATTTGTAAAGCACAAAAACTCTTAAGATAAAATATACAATTAATAAATGTGACCGACTCATTTATAGCACGAGTATTAAGCTTTGCTTATGCTACTCATGCAATTTGCTGTAAATGATTAGATTAAATAACAGAAACTCATGTACACATTTAATAAACATAGAAAATAAAAGTATGTAGAAAATATTCTTAAGAGATTCGAAATTTATTGCATAATTTAATTAATTTGAAATATTTAATTTTTATAATACTTTACTGCCAAAAAAGTAATTGAAAGCAAGTGTTTAAACACTAAAATGCAATAAAAAATTTTAATGAAAAACTCCTTTTCATTATTCTCATTTAATTACAAAATTTTTGTCGACTAATACGGCATTGGGGCTGTTAAATCGATTAACGGTATTTTGCGGTTAGTTGCATGGTTCATTGCATGCTACCTCGCTTGTTCAGCATAAACCGCATAACTTGAAATTGGTTATTACTGAAATCTCTGAATTAATTTGACAGCATTTTCCGACAACACTTTGCTCAAGCTCAAAAATCACTTTGTGGCAACAATACTGTCAAAAAAGCTTCAAACTAGCAAGTCAATTTGCTATTTATTAAGACTCGATTCGAAGAATTTTGGTATTGCAATATTTGCATATTACCAAACCGCATTTGGAAGCAATAAAATGTGATACACGTAGTACCGGCAGCGGTTTGAGTTTTTGTAGTGTATATTGTTCATATTTATGTAGTTAGGTATGTACTAGAAGTAATTTAAATATGTACTACTCAGCTACAAGTGCAAATATATATATATATTGCTGTATGTATTTGTGTTCGCATGTCAAAATTTTTATAAACTTTTGGCAGTTAGTCATTTCCGGCCGCAATTCTCAACCCAGAATGTACGAGTATGCTACGGCAATAAACACGCTTTGATGGCTCAACATTTTGTTGCTTTGGAAAATATTCTTTTCATTTTATTTTTGATTGACCATAAGTGTTTTGTTACAGCATAGTTATTACAAAATAAAATAATTGATATTTTTCGTAAAAAAAAAAAAAATTATTTTGCAGCTCTTTTAGGTATTCTTACAATTTGTGGTCATTAAATGTGCAATTATACAGTTAGCAACTAATGAAGTCAAATTTCGTAAGATTTCATTCTGGTGTTGACGGAAGTGTCATTAAATTTTTGTAACGTTTACGAAATCACACCACTCTCTATCTAATTGAGAGAATACAGCGGTGCTGTTTTATAGAGATTCAGAATGTTTGCCAATATCACCTGTTTTGCTCGCCACACAATAGTGAATGTTAATAAAAGCTTTTATGCCAACAAATTAATTATTTCATATTTATTCTGAGATATTTGAACAAATTTTATATTAATTTTTCTTTCTCTTAGTCTCATATATTGAGTCGTTCACTAAGTATCTTTTTGGTTTTCTTTCCAACTTAACACTTAACCGCTTTACCTTTATATTTTAAATAGCTGATATTATAAGGCTTGCTTATGGAAAAATTTCTTATATTTTTTGGAATAGTTTTTATTTTATGCCGTGTGAAATATGTAAGGATCAAAAACAGCATTTTCGGCATATTTTATTGTTTTGTTGTCAAAAGGGTAAAAATGCAATTCAAGCAAGGCGAAAATTTGTTTGCACCATTTCGTTCCGGTAATTTCGATCTCATGAAGCCGATGAGAATAAAATGAAATCATTGGACGAAGCAAATCGTGGAATATAAACTATAGTGGTTGTTGAAAGATCACTTGGAACTTCTTATTTTAATTTCGAAGTTTGACATATGGGTCTCCTATGTTCTAACGATTTGCATATCAGACGTGAGAGAAGTGATCAGAATACCGACACCTCATACATGTGTGAAGACTCGCCGAAAGCTTTTGCAGCTTGAATGTGATATGCTACCACTCATCGCATAAATCAATGGATATATTGAGAGAACACTTCATCGATTGCCCACCAAAATTGTATGATATCACACCTTTAGACTTTTTCTGTAGGGATATGTAAAGTCTAAAGTCTATGCGGATGTTTCTCGCTTCGATTCAAGCCTTGAAGCAAAACATCACGCGTGTCCTTCGCCAGTGACCAGTCGAAATACTCGAACGTGTCATCGAAAGGTTTACTTAACGGATGAATCATCTGAAACATAGCCGCGGTCAACATTTGAAATTATTAGGGTACCTCGAAATGATCACCCTACTTTTGCAGCTTTCATTGATAATTATCAATTGTAATTGCTTTTATACTTTTCATAAGAAAAAAATCATAAAGTGGCGTATTTCTTCACAAAATCCGAAAGAAGCTTAACTGCTTGTATTCTAAAAACAATTTCAAAATATAAATATGCAATAAAAAAAATATTGGAAATCTTTAAGCACACTTGTTATGCTATATACATACATATATAATATATACACTATCGAAAAAATCGCAACAATCCAACCCGTCGCATTTGCATAAATTAAAGAGATGCTGGCTCAGAGACGTGCTTTGGCAGTGTGAAACTTAAAAGTTTCAGTTTGCAGTTTGTGCGGTTTTTAAGCGACTCGAAGCAAGTCGTGGAATTGATGGACTTGACATTGAATGCGGCAATTGATATTTTGTGCACCTGTCTCCGCCCAGCCTTGCCTTTGCCGAGTAGCAAGGCTTTATTTGGCTAGCTATATGGCAGGTCATAGTCGCTTGTAGCTGTGGCAGCAATCAAGTTGTTGGCAATGTGCAACAACGCCGCAGTATTTAAACGAAAATACTTGTATACAGGGTGAGACGGCAAGTAGAAATTATATAAACTGGAAATTTGAGAACGCGAATTTTTTTTGGAATTTTGTTTTATTAATGGTCAATTGGTTGTTACATATTTTTTAATATTATTGAAAACTGTTGTATTTCTTTATTAAAATTTGAAAAATAAAAAAATTTTAATTAAAAAAATTTTTAAATTTAAAAAAAAATATTTAAAAATTATTTTGTTTTTAATTATTTTTAATTTGAAAATAGAAATAATTATTTTTAATAAAATAATAAAATTATAATTTGAATAAAATATTTTTTCATTATTCATAAAGTATTTATACATATGTATGTATATATAATATATACATTTATTAAAGACCTGCATTTTTTATTTACTGAACATTGAAAACAAAAAAATTAAAAACAAAACTTGATTGATTGAAAGATGAGGAATGCACCGCGACCTTTGGTCTATTGTGCCCTCAGAAAAAAACTTAGAAGTGAAATAATTTTTTCTGAACAAAAAAAAATTAATAAAAGTTTTTTCGATAAAGTTTATTCATTTTTTAATGTTTTGGAAAGCATTTGGAATTTTGTTAATTGAATTTAAGAAAAAGAAACAATAGGAAAA